AACCAATTTGAATATTTTAGACACATATTTACCATTTATTTACGGATTGACTATTACAAAGTTCGGTCAATGGTTATGAAATTACCTGTTGACGTTGAGGACAGATGAACAATATTCATCCAAAAATTGGCTAGAAATGATTTTTGTTTTGTTAAGAAAAAAAGGTAAAAAGGATGTATTTAAGTATTCATCAGAGGACTGTAAATTATTATTAGGAGCAATGGAGTAATTTTGTTTGCCTATATTTTTAGGTGGAAGGAGCTTATGATAAGGATCGCAGGGGAATTTGTAACTGGGATGATTGGAGCCTTATGCGGCCTGGTTGGTCCATTATTATTATTATTATTATTATTATTACTTAATTAATATCTATAAATAAGCACAAAAACTCAAAAATATGTTGTCTTTATTTTACTCAAATAGTAATGTTTTTTGCTAATTATAATGGCAGGTAAAGTAGCCGATGGCGGCAACGGAACTCTTGCTATCGATCACTACAATCGCGTCAAGGTAATTCAGAAATTTCTAAAACGGACTAATTAATTGATTTATTTAATAAGAATTTTCCATATCTGACTATTATGCGGTTGACGTGGAAAATTATTTCACAAACATTGCAGGAAGATATTAAACTGCTGAAACAGACGGGATTAGATGTCTACAGGTTTTCCATTTCATGGACTAGAATAATCCCAGGTATCTCAAATTTTTTCCCCCAAAATCAAAAAAGAGTTAATTAATTTTAAAAATAGCAATTCAATGTTTCATTTTTAATTAATTAAACTGTGGCATCATAGGTGGAAAATTTAGCACTGGCGTCAACCCCGAGGGTATCAGGTTCTACAATGAACTCATTGACATGCTAATCAAAGAAGGTATCGCACTCCTCTTAAAAAAAAAATTAATTAAAAAAAATTGGTTAATTAACAAATACAAGCCTTACTTATTACCGCAAAATAGCTTACAAAATACCTTATTTATTTAATTTATTCAATTAATTTTTGATCTCAAAGGAATTGAGCCAATGGTTACTATCTTCCACTTTGATGTACCCAAGTGCTTGGGGGATGAGTACGGTGGCTTCTTGGACCGCAGAATAGTGTAAGTAAATTTCTCATACAATAATAGTTGTAATCATTTATAATCATATAATATAATCAATCTAGCTAGTCAAACACAATTGCATTATAAGTAAGTGTTGGATGTACACATCTAATCCCACATCTGAAAAAAATTAGAACTTCCGAGTCCAATATAAGCTTGGTAGACTACTCTTTCTATTCCCATTTGGTTTTAGAATAGAACCCCATTTGGGCTTGTATGTTGGGCTTGAATTATTAGTCCCAAACAGTTGGTGCTCCTTCCCAATTGTATGTCGTGAATGTTGGGTTTGAACTGGGCTTGTATGTTGGGCTTGAATTGGACTTGATGGAACCTCATTTGCTCTATTTTGTTGCACGCAGGGATGACTATGCCCAGTATGCTGAAGTGTGCTTTCAAGCATTCGGTGATCGTGTTAAAATTTGGACCACGATAAACGAGCCGAGCACATTCACGACACTTGGATACGTAAACGGCCAATTTCCCCCAGGCCACGGAACTCCTCCAGACGAACTCGGACACAAAGTTGTACTACACAGATGTCATCCGGACACTGACAAAACTTGCCATAGAACCGAGAATGCTGCTACCGAGCCTTACATCGTGGCTCACCATTTGATTCTTGCTCATGCTACGGCTGTTCGTATTTATCGTGAAAAGTATCAGGTTCGCTTCATAGTAAATTAATTAATTACTCAATAATTGGGTAATATATTTTTTTTTTTTCAAAAAATGCCACAAGTACATAATAAGTGCATATAGAGGTGTACATAACACTCACATGAAGTGGGGTCCACTTGATTATTTATTTTTGATAGATTCTACTCAATGTGAGTATTTTGTACAATAATATGTACCTATAATATTTTTTTTTTTTTTTTCACATATTGTAATTGAAATTATGTAAATGATGCGCCAGGCTGTCCAAGGAGGGAAAATAGGCATGGTGGTTGTTCCCAACAGTTGGTACTTTCCATACTCTGACAAAACGGAAGATAAAGAAGCCTGTGAAAGAGCCAATGAATTTTTGCTGGGATGGTATATCTATATATATATTAGCAATATAATTAATTAAACTATCAATATTCATTAAATTAATTGTTGGAGCCTATTTTTG